AAAAAAAAGAAAAAAGAGGGACAGAGTTGGTGTTAGAGGGAAACAATGGGACAAGTTGGAGGAACTGTTGAATTTAATATGGTTGGAAGTGGTTAACTGGGGTAGTCTTGACAGAAAATAGGTTGGTTGGTGATCTCACTTAATGAAAAATTGAAGTTAGAGTGTGAGGGATCACGGTCTTGGAATAAAAGGAGGGTTTTAAGGATCTTTGGGTGAAAGAAACTTCTGAGTCCTGACTAAGTGGTTTTTGTGGAAAGTCGGATGGAGCAGGTTGATAGGAGCTTATGTGGTGTCAGGTATGGTGTGTTCGGGGGAATTTTAATGTGGTAATATTTAACTACAAAAACTCAACTGGTGGTCAATTAGGATTCCTTGGATTGGTCTGCCATTTTAGTTTAGGTGAGTCTGTTTGGTCCAATTTGGTATGGGTTTGTTTTAAGTTTTATTTTGGGTGTTTGATTTGAATGGACTCCTTGTCCATCTTGTTTTTTTGGTACTAATTTATTATATCTTCAATAAGTTTTTTTTCTTGTCAAAAAGAAAAAGATTGTGTGTAAATGTGCCATTGCTTAATATAGTATTGGCTCCTTACTAAGTGTTTATGGTGTTATGTTGGGCAAGTGTACCTTTCGGATGTTAATAGGCACCTCAGTTCATTTGCTTGCTCTTGAAATGCTTACTCTTTGTCATAATTATCAGGCATAACTTTCTATTATTATTTCCGTCTATTCTTATGTTGAATGGTTGCTGTGGTGTAACTCTTTTACCAGACACTGATTGAAAGGTTGTTGTTGATGCTCCGAGATCCTGATTATCGAGTTCGGTTCTCCCTAGCCAGACGAATTGATGTTCTTTTCCAAACATGGGATGGACATGAGGAATTATTCCATGATATCTGGTGAGTTTGGACTTAAATTATTTTCATATCATGCTGACTATGATTATTTGTGGCGCTTGTTTGTATTCTTCTCAACAAATCTTGCCTACCCCACCTAGAACTTGAAAAGGGTACAACCGACATTAATGCTGTGAATGTCCTACATTCTATTTTATTTATTGTAAGCTCCCTCTTGGGGGCTTTACATTGCCTACTCTTTATATTAACATAAAGTATTTTAATTTGCTAACATCTATTTGTGCTTGTTATTCTAGTTCCAACTTTGGTGTGTTGTTGGTGTTTCCCTCAAAAGAAAAACCTGTTGCTGCAAGTGAGGTGGTAGCTGTCGGTCCACAGCCTCGTCCCACAGTGGAAACTGTTATTATCACTCTTATGCATCTTGCTTTGCATAGTGAGAAAATAGAGTTTGAGGTATATATGTTGACTTTCTTTATTTAAATTATTCTCCCAGATGATAGTTCTGAAAATAACTTTGTAGCAAAGCAAAGAAGAATGTTGTGTGTGCAAAAGTTATAAAAAAACAAAACAAAAAAGGAAGAAGAATCCAAAGTAAGTGAAATGTGGGTGAATGCAGGACAATTAAAACTGTACATCTACCAATCAAGTCCATTATGTTATTAATAGACTGTAGTCACTTTATATAAAGTATTTGCGACATACCCAAAGTTGTCAACCTTGCTAAAGTCATCTCAAATTATACGGAGTAGTTCTATTTTTATCTTTTTTTATTTTATTAGAAACAGTCAATCTGGCTAAACACATTCTCAACTGCTGCATACTGTGTGTGCACATATTAGAGTGTTCAGATGGATGGAAGGTGTTCAGTGCACCTACGTAGAATAGAATTTACAGTGTATGTGTGTGCATGTGTTTTATTTCATTTCCCTTTTTTATGGAAAGGTGTAGAAGTGGCTACTAAGAATCCTCAGAAGTAGTTTTAATTTCTGTTAGGTTGGAATGGAGTATGCAGAATTGATTCAAAAATGTCATTGGTCTTTTAGAATTCATTTGTATATGGATTAAATTTGTTTAGTTTATGACATTGTAAGAAGCTGTTTTGTGTGCATTTGTATTCATTTGGTAATCTCCATGGCACATGCAGGCTGTGTTCATGATATGTGTGGTTTCTGCTATTGATCCTGGTCAGAGGTACAATATCTGCACTATCTTTTCTTTTCTTTTTTTTTGAAAAGGAGAAATTTTATTTCATAAATAAAAACCATACAGAAAAGTGGATAAGCAATCCACCAATAACAGAAAGAAACAAGAAAACTAGTACAGAGATCTACAACTAGAGAAAAAACCCAATCCTAATCAAGACACTGCAGCCTTCCAATCAAGCAATATATCTGCACCATTATGATGTATTCTTTTTTCGTTTTATATTTCTTTGATCTGTAAAGATTTTCCTTTCCCCTCCTTTCAGGGAATTGGTTGTCGTAGTACTTGATAATCTCTCCAGGCAGCTGCATTATACAACTAGGTTCAAGGTAATAATTGTAGTTCTCTCCTTGCATTATTACTATAATTATTATTATGACTATTTTGTTGGGTAATTCCAGAAGGGTGCCCACTCTTTGCTTAGTGAAATTCATGCTTCTTTTAGGAAAGTTAAGAAGGCTAGTTCGTTCTGGGGTTGCTGCAGGTTTGGCTTTTTGTTGGGTGATATGGATGGAGAGGGACAGGAGGATATTTGACAATATAAAGGGGGTGGGGGTGGAATAGCTTTGGGAGAGGATGACGTTTTTGTTGTCTTTTTGGGTTTCAGTTTCGTCAGATTTCAGGGATCTTACATTCTCTTTTATTTTACTAATTGGAACATTGCTATAGGATAACTTGGTTGTTGTAGTTTTCTGTTGCAATTCTCTTGTAATCTGTTTTTCTTTTTTTTCTGGTGGACTTCTTGCTCACTCTTACTTTTCATTGCCTTTTAATAAAATTTTGTTTCTTTAAAAAAATTATCACAAGTTTTATTATTATTATTGGAAAGTGATTTTCGCAGTGCCCTTATTATTATTATTACCATTGTAATAATTATTTCTATTATTATTATTATTATTATTATTTTATTTTTTTTTATTGGCATTTGGTGTAGCAAACAGTTTGCACAAGTTATTTGTTCATAACAACAATCATCTTGATCAAATTAAGACTTTCAATAATCTGAAACTTTAGTTACTTAACCAAATTTATTTTGCAGTACTTGGAGGAGCTTATGGGATCAATTCTCTTCTGTTGGATTGCTTGTGGTGTAAGCCTTGCTGCTCTTGTTGAGGTAATGTGCTCATTTGTACACTGATCTTATTTATTTTGTTTCAATTGTGTGTATGACCTGCTGAAATTGTAGGTTCCTTTATTCTCCAAAAATATGTAGGGAATCTTGCTAATAAATATTGCATCTGCTACGCCTTATCTTACTAAAGGACGTATTTTGCAGCCAAGCTTGTTATTGATATGGATTTTCCTGAATTATTCGTTAAGATGAAGGAGAGCTTATTTAACTAGTTGGGGTTTAGTGCAATAGCTTACACAAAATTGTGTTATAACTATCGGGAACTTACTGATAAGGAATGGCTTTCTTATGCAAATGGTTGTGGAGATTCACTCTTGAGTAGGATTCAATTTGATGTTTTGTTTTTAGAACTACTGAGTACAGTAGAACGGGTGGAATTCCAGGATTGTGAAGCAAGTTTCTTTGTCCTTTGAAATTCATCTTTCACAGTTATCCTTCCTTCTTCTAAGTGGTCCAAAATTGGGGTGCCTTTAGAATGACGTTTATCAAGGAGATTCATCTTTCAAGACCAAATACTTGTCTATTGCCTGATATCTGCGTTTTGTGCTATTAAAACGTGGACTGTATAGATTATAAATTTTCGAATTGCTCTCACCTATCAAATTTGGAGAAGGCTGCTACAAGTGTTTGGAGTTGTGGGTATTTTGTCTGGAGATTACTACCTTTTGACAGAGGATATTTTGGGGCTGATGCTAAGTAAGAAGAAGATGATACTTCTTTGGCAGTTCAGTCTTGTCAGTTTTTTGGCTTGTTGGGATGGAAAGAAATGACAGGAATTTTTAGGATAAGGGGAGGAGCGGGATTTTCTTTGGAAAAGGAGCAGATTTTTGGCGTCCTTGTGGCCTTCATTGCCCCCTTTAGCTTGATTTGTTTGGATTGTGTTGGAGTTTTGACTTAATTGTACTGTTACTGCTGAAAGTTTGTTGGTAGACTCTTTTTTTTGGTTGACAATTTGGCCTCCTTTCTTTACTTTTTATCTTTATTTAAGTTAATGTTTGTTACCAAAAAAACTAGAATAGCACTTACGATGTTAGTGTCATTGGCTTAACTATCTTGTTGGTTGCTGATAGTTAATTTGTCTTCTTTTTTTTAAAAAGTTAAACTTTTATTTTAGATTTGACGCTGCTAATGTTTGTAGCTTATACATTTAAGACAATTACATGCGACGGTGTGTGTTCTACAAACAATTCTGGGTGTGCCTTCACAATTAACTTTTTGTGCTACCTGGTACTGCATTGTCAGACCAACTGTTGCATAGGAATATCATATCCATAAATGTCCAATCTGATTAGTTTACAATTTTCCTTTGCAGATAAGGCAATTATTTGTATCAGATTCCGAACCTAGTTATTTCATGCAGTATTGCTGCCATTGGCTTCTTCCGGCTCTACTTCTGCATGGGGATCACTGCAATCTCAGCTGGGTTGCTAAGGTAAGATAAATCTTGAACCTTCTTTCTCTCGCCCATTTGTTGGGTAACCTGTAAATTTCCAACCCTTGAGAAAATTTTAGCTGGGTTGTTAAGGTAAGATAAATCTTGAATTTTCTTTCCTTTCCCATTTGTTGGGTGACCTGTAAAATATCCAACACTTACGTAATTTTTCCTCAAAGTTTATCTGTGGTAGATGGATTAGCTAGGTTACAAGATTATCTCCCTATTCATCATCCATTATTTGTGGTCAACTCTTGGTTTCTTTTTTCTAGTCCACCACACACACACACACACACACACACACACACATATATATATATTTGTCGTCAACCCCTTTAAGTTGTTAGTCTCACAGGGTTATTTTATTCCAGATTGCTTGTCAACCTCTGGAAGTTCTGGTGAAAAATCACTTCGTGCAGATTTTTTCAGTTTGCATGGCATTGCATTGCAGTAAGAAATCTGGGTGGGAAAAGGGAGCAGATGTGCTTCAGAATTCAATTTTGCATCTTGCTCAGATATCTGAGAATGAACGAGACAAACTCATCAAGAAAAATATGGTTTGCTACTGATTATGTGGATTCAATTGGGTTTTGGATTGATTGCCCTACCTTTCACATATTTATGTCGTATTTTTTCGTTCATCAGAATTAACTAGATGGTTTTAATCTCTTATAGTTGTTCTTCCTTGGCACATTTATAGGTATCTATTGTCAGCCACATTCTGTCTCTTTCCTCGTCTGCATCAAACCCTTCAGTTCCATTCTTTTCTAGGGACGCGATTGCACGTGCAATTCAGACAGTTGTTGACGGATTTTTGGAGATGTACACTATTTTCTTTGATTTATCCGGTTTACATATCTGAAAATTCTAGCTTAAAATGTTTTCTTAATGACCCTATGTGTAGGGAGGATGATGCTACAAGTGTCTGTGTTGTTGACAAGATAAACATTTTTCGCCCAGATAGGGTTTTCATGGTAAAATGCTATTTTGGATATCTCCTTATGCCAATGATGGGATTCCCCTTATATTCAATTCTCTTGTTCAGTTGGCATGTTCAATGCATTTTGTGAAATGAATTGCTATTGTGGTTCTGCAGTTTATAGTGGAACTGCATCATAAGATTGCAGCGGCAGCCCACCATAGGCATACATGTCACCGACTGACTGGAGTTGAGGTGCTTATAGATATTCTTGGGTATAGAGCTGCTGTTGCAAGCACTTCCAAGTAAGTTTACATTATCAGTATCCATCATTAGATAATTAAAACAACGTTTGTTCAAGCAATTCATACAAGCTTCTAATTAATTTGTTACTTATGTGACTGGATTAGCATTTTCGAAAAAGAATGCAGATGCCTTTTGCAGATTATAGTGGTGCACTTAAGTGGGCAGAGTTCCGTTATTATCCCCTATTTTTTCTAATGTTAAAGCAAATAATATGATATTCGTATCTTTTAATGGTGTTTGTGTGCGGTTTTCTTTCCATATAGGATGGAAGAGGAAAACCGATGTTATGTTATATAATGGTAGTCCTTAGTGAAAACACTGAAAACAGAAAATTTTTTGGACGTTTTTTAACTATATAATTTAATATGCACTTACTTTTGCAATTATTTGATGTTTGATGCAGTTATCTTTTCAATTTGGTTGGTCAATTCATTGGTTGCTGTGCTTTACAAGATCAATGCTGTCGTATCATTTCTGCATTGCTGAAAACTTTTAAAAGTAATCTATCCAAAGAAATTATCAGTGTTCTGGGTGAGCAACTTCAGGTGCGTCCCTTTATTGACTCTGTATGTCTATCTGATGTTCTGCATCCGCACATCTTCTCCCCTAGGGCCCCACCTTCAATCCCCCATCTCCCCCAAAAAAAAGACCCCTTTCAGTATTCTCTGCTACACTCATGTTGTGTTTTGATGCAGTTTTTAGTGTCAAAGTTGGTGGCATGTTGCATTCCCTCTGAAGCTAAGGGAGAACAATCTGGCAGCAGATCATCCCAAGTCTTATCTTTGCTCCTCGAGCTCACTGTGGATTCTGATCCATCTCTTTATGATTACATCAGAGTACCGTTTCTGACTTCTCAACAATGAAGTTTCACCTCTTAAATAGTCTTAATTTGGTTTTGGCGGAATTATACCCTTTGATTTGTGTAATTTCTCTGTGGTAGGAATTGGAGCCCTTCCCAGAAATAGATATCTTTGATGGGATTCGGAAGTTCCATCAGGATTTATGCCGAGCATACTCTCCACGAGATCATTTGTTGAAGGTATATAATATCTTCTTTATTTTTGGTTGTGCGTTTAAGGTATATAATATCGATTTTTGTATGTAGAATATGAAAATAATAGTTGGTGCTTATCCTACGCTAGTTTTGAGAGTTCATGGTTATTTGAATCGGGCATCTTGAGTTCAAGTCTCTACAGATGCAACCTTCCAATTTATGTTGGATTCCATGTGTCAGGCTCTCTAGTGGTGGAGAGAGTCCCATATATGATGAAGAGTGTTAATATATAAAATTTATAGTTCATCCACATTCTAACAGCTTAAGCTTTTGGAAATACTGGTAAACCAACAAAGTTCATCAGTGTAGATTTACTTTGCTTTTAATGAAATCCAAATATCATTAAATATTTTCTCACTGATTGAATTATTTACTGTGACTTTTTCCAGTTTGTTAAGAGATCCTGCTACCTTCCGCCAAGATTACTTCTGTGGAGGTGGTTTCCCCTTCTTTTCTGTCTCTTCTGTGGTCTTGTTCTCTAACCCTACATGTTGTCATTTGTAGAATGAAATTGCACAATCACTTTTGAGGAATATACTACAAAATTGTTTTGATGATTTTAATAACCGTTGAACTTTAAAATGTTTCAATTTTAATTTCGGGAATTGTAATCCAATTCTTCTTACATTGCTTGTTGGTAATAAGATTCTCTGTGAACTTGGTACATTCTTGCAGTCTCCAAGCACTGCACAAGAAGTTTCTTTTGGGTGAGACATTTCAAAGTGAAAAGAATACATATTGGCATTGTGACCAGGAAATTATCAGTGCTGTCTGGACACTGGTCCGCATGTGTGGCTCGGATGATACAAACACTGTTAGAGTTTTGCTCTCTGATTTCATATCTAGGGTACGTCTGCTAGACTGATATTATCTCTTCTTCTGCACATTGAACTCTGCAATAATACTTTTTCCTTTTCTTTTCCAAAAAATGCAGGTTGGTATTGGGGACCCACATTGTGTTGTTTTTCGTCTTCCAGGAAACTCTAGTGATATCCATGTCTACCAACCTTTTAGTCACGACTCTTCTACAGAAGTCAAATTTCAGATGGATACTGGCTTATCTGAAGAACTTGTGGTTGCACTTTTGAAACTTCTGAAAAAGTACCTGATGGATGATTCCGTTAAAATAGTTGATATGACATCTCAAGCTCTTCGGGTGAGTCTTTCGATGCCCAGTTGACTTTGCCCTCTTTTCAAGTCTGTCAGACTTCATTCAATGATAACGCTGTCTTGACCATTTCATCTTAATTAATTTGATAACTGGTCGCTGATATGTTCATTATTGTTTAATTTTGTATACAAAGTTCTATACTTTAAGAGGACTAACGGCAAACTTATTATGAGTATGTCTTATGGTAAGTGAAGAATTGTGGCACACTTCCTATGATTAATGAGATCTGTAGGTCCCCCCTTCTAACCACAATCTTGATCACAACCTGTCTATGCCGGGCACATTCATTTCTATGCTGAAAAATTGGTGGCACCAAAGTTGAACTCTCTTAGCAATTCTTTATTGTGAATGGTCAATCATGATACAAGTTCAGGCTTAAGAAAATAAAAATTTCCAGAATATAAGAATATTGCTGTGATAGACAAGGGATAATTAGTGTTGAATGGATATTGTCAAGGGACTATATTGACAAGAGTAATAAGTTTAAGGGTGTATGCAAATTTGCAAGATTGAGGGAAGTATAAGTATATAATATATTTGAATGATGTTAGTTCATTAAAGGGGAGGACTGAGTGAAATGTAAGGTAAGGTTAAGGTGAGAAGGAGGCAATGTTTTCCTAAAGATATAAAATCCTTACAAGGTGGAGTCCGGGGCATTTTAACTGTTTTGGTTCAGTAAATATTATTGTCCATAGATTAGGTGCATGGATCCTACATTTGTTTAAGATTGAAAATGATGAGCTTCGATGACTGTAATAGTCTAGTCTGCAAATTTATTGCTATATTACTGTTTCACTTAGCAAAACGCTTCAAGTGTGTGGGTTATTGTCGTATGTATCAACTAGTTGAGCCTATACCTGGGAAAACTTTTACTACTTGTCCAGGAACTGTATTTTTTTTTTAAACAATAAAACTATGCATGCTGTTGTTACTTATAGTGTGAATTTTTATTTGCTCGTGGAACTTTAAATCTATTGTTTGCTCCCCCCTCCCCATTCTTCTTTCTCTTTTGGCTTTACTTGTTATAATCTGATGATTTTTGTGGGGGTTCTATAATGTGCTTTTTTTCCTGGAAGCAGGGAGTTCTTTCAACTCAAAGGGGTCAAAGTACTATGTTGTCATTTGATTCTTATGAGAGGTCTCTTATTGAGGTAACTGTGCTTTTCTCTTTATTTTATTTTATTAGTTATGGAATTAAGTTTTATACCTAGTTATAATAGTGTGGATGATGTTATTTCAATGGAAAAATCGTGTAATTTATTCTTGTCTTCCAGGTTCACTCAAAGGGTGTCAATATTGAGCTGGTGGAGAAGCTCCTTTTCGATCTGGAAATTAAGTTTAAAGGTAACGCTGGTGCTGGTTTTTTATACGTATTCATTTCTGGTTACAGTGATATTCAAAATTGTGGTTAATGTTATTTAAACTGTTTGTTAAAGGTTGTCTTAGTAGTGTTTAGCTAGGCTTTTTGATGCTTTCTGCTTCATGTGGCCCTAGGGGTCCAGACACTGCCTGGGCTTCCTTTTTATTTATCACTGGTTGTAAAATCTCATTGTTTTTTCATGCGTGAGTGACTCTGTGACTTCAACTCTCATGATACCTTCCAAGCTGTATCATGCTGATTTATACCTTCAATTTTGGATTCATATCATTTGTCACACCTTTTACTTGGGTTATTTGCTGTTGTGTGGTTCTCATTAATGGTTTTTCGGTTCAACATGTAATAGTTCCTTAAATTCATTTTCAGCTGAAGCAATTCCATTAGAGAATTCTACTGTATGGGTGACAGATGGTAAAACTTTCGATACATGGATTTGTCAACTTGTCTACTCACTAATTGGCTATTGCAGTGATGTGATTCTGAGGTATTATCTTTGATATCGTATGTTGTTAAGGGTTCATTGATCTAGATGTGTTGGTCAGAATGGTCATCTTTTTTTCCTGCTTCTTTCAGATTATGTCAGGATGTTGTGTTGGCGAAAGCTGAAGTTGCTGAGCTTCTATTACCAAGCCTTGTTGTCAATCTTGCTGGAAGGAAGGATATGGATGTTGATCTCCTCAAATTAATCTCTTTACAGGTTGAATCTGGAATGTATTTTGGTCTATTTTAAATTTTAGTGTGATGTTTCTCCGTTTTGAGATTTGTAATTTCTCGTTTCTGCCATTTGTACATTAAAAGTTAAAACTATTAGTGGCATTAAGTTACCTTTTTGGTGCTTCATGTTTTGGAAGGTTTTCATTTTATGGGTGGCAGAAACTGAAAAAGAGCCTGTCGTCATAGGAAACTTGTTTTGATTGTCTCTTAATTTTGGGGCAAGTGTTGTGTTGGGAGACTCTATTACTTGTTTGGGAGGTGGAACTTTTATTGGAAGAAACTTGGTGTTATTTCAGAGGAGTTGTGATGTGGTTGAGACACCTATATGAGATTGAGAATGTGAGGCAGTTGAATGGGCTATTTCTTATTCTTCATGCTATTCAGGATTGTAAATTTAGATGATTTGGTATGCTGGCTTAATCTAAAGACATGAATTGATTCAATGTTTCGTAACTTAGTCCTCATTGAGTTATTTATTTTATTAGTTATCTATTTGAAAGCATTGCAGGTCTGTTTCCCGTCTGCTGTATCTTGTTCTTGTTATGCACATTATTGATTTGATTGGTTGCCTATGTTTTGTATGCAGGTGCAGGAATATATATTTACAGACTCTAATACGTTAATCAAATCAATTCAAATTTGGTTGAATGCCCTTAATGAACTTCGGTTATGTCATGTGATGCAAAGAACTTCTTTGTTGCCATCGAAGGCAGAAATTTCCAAGGTATTCGATGAAACTATTTTGTACTTGCTTCTAATGATTTCATTTTTTTTAGTTTAAGTTTCTTTCAGATTGTTAAGTACTTTAATTTTCTCGCCATAAACGAAAAATCGTTGTATGGTATATATATATATGTGTGTGTGTGTGTGTGTGTGTGTGCGTGTGTTTTCTTTTGGATAGGAAGCAGAATAGTTGCAATAGAAAAGGTGAAGAGTACAATCAAGTGGACCAACAGTCTAAGAGAAACTCCTCTCATCCTACAAAGACAGGACACCAGAAGTATAATACATGAAAATATCTCTTAGTCAGGCAAAAAGCGCAAGCATCAAAATGAAAACTTAGAAACAGCAACTACCCAAGATACGGTCCATAATACAACACTCCTCTCCTACCAAGAAGGATTGGACTAAGGGTAGTCAAATATTTGGACGAAGAAACCCATAAAGATGCAAAAAGTCCAATCCGGTTCCTGTCACAAATTAACTCCAAAGCTCTAAACCCAGTGGAAAAGGTGTTCGCCCCAATAATACAAATTGCATTGCAACAGCACAATCATTCCTATTCCTGCCAAGAACTAAACTACTACCAATCTAGGAAACAGCCTTCTTTTCCCTTTCACGTAACAAAGTGTGACATCCTTCTTCTTATTTTAATACCATTTTGGATATGAGAGATGGAGCCAAGAATAAGATTGAGAGATATTTGTTGATGTTTGAGAAAAAGTTTTGAAGATAACCTTAAAATAAAATTACCTCTAAAATTTGAATTTTTTGGATATTTTCTGCTTGCATTTGATGCAGTTAAGTTTCTATAATATGTACGTTTAATAATAGATTAGACAATACTACGTTCTGCTGCTGCCAATTTTGAATGAAGTATGAGGGAGGTCTATTGGTGGTCTTGACAGTGATCTTTTACTAATTTAATCGTGCAAAGTATGTTTCATATTTTTTTTCATCCAAGTACTTTGGTCACGAGAATATTTCACATAGATGGCACTAATCTAATTATTACCTTTTGGGTTTGTAGAGTGCTAAGCCTTCTAGTTATAGCTCCAAATCCCGTTCCACCCCTGGAAAGACTGGAGATTCAGGTCCTATGTTAAGTGGAACGGCAATTGCGACATCTTTATGGGACAAGGTATTGTGTTGTGCATATGTTCAAAGATATTCTGTTATCTGTTGCCTTACTCTATGGAGTTAATTATGTTTAAATATTGTGTTTGGTTCAGTTTAAGGCTTGTTAAACATATTTTCTGAACCATTCTTTTTTCTTGTTATTTATCTGATAATTTAAATATGTTCCCAGGTTTATTGGCTTTCTATTGATTATCTTATCGTCGCCAAGTCAGCAGTTGTGAGTTCTGAACAGTTCCTATTTCATTTCTTTTTCTTATAATTTAATTCCAAGTCTGTGCCCAAACGACTTTCTTTAGTTAGTAAGTGTCCATAAGTCCATAGCTTTGACAAGGATGTGTATACTTCATAGATTTGTGGCAATTACTTTACTGCCGTGATGTATGTGGAGCATTGGTGTGAAGAGCATTTCAACAACCTCACACTGGGGAGCCCAGATTTCTCCCACATTGAAGCGGTTAGTTACACAGATATAGTGAGCTTTGTACTTGTTTTCTAATGAGCTGATATGTTAGATCTTGTTTACAGTTGTGGTCTGTTGTAAAACAATATACCAAAATGGAAGATACATATGGTCCTTCCATATGGGAAGAATTGTTTGTTCTCCTGTTCTGTCTTCTCCTTCTGTTTAATCGGTGCTTCTTTTGACTTCCTCTTCCTGTTCTGTGTCTTTCTGCTCTTCAGTTGCCACATCATATTGAAATACTTGTCGCAGCTGTCACTCAGATCAATGAACCTGACAGCTTATATGGGATCATCCAGTCACACAAGGTTAGCAAAAATTATGGTTTTGCAATGAGGTGAATTTATGCTTAGTTGTGTCTGTTATGTAGTCTTACCAATTATGACTTTGGCCATCCAGTTTCATTGGAATCATCAGATATTGTGAGCACTTTAGAATGTCTGAGATATTATATTCAGAACATAAGTATATTCTCATAGTTGTATTATTTTTTCTGGTTTTGTGGTGATGGCAATGAAAGCTGACCTCTCAAATCATTACCTTCGAGCATGAGGGAAACTGGAGCAAGGCCCTTGAGTATTATGACTTGCAAGTACGTTCAGCTTCCTTGGTACCAGTGGATTTTGGTTCCAGAAATTTGTCACTGGAAGAGACTCAACCAACAGATCATTTATCCAATCCCACATTGGAAAATGCGATGAAGCAGAGGAAACCTTATAAAGGTCTGATTAGATCTTTGCAGCAAACTGGCTGTATGCATGTTCTAGATTTGTATTGCCAAGGATTGACAACTCGGAAGGGACACTTTCATCATGATCTGGAGTTTACTGAATTGCAGGTCTTCAATCTTAACTAGTTAAATATGCCCGATCAATGACATGTTTGGCTTTCTGGTTAGCAAATTTTCTCGCTAGTTTAATGCTACAAGTACCATTTTTCTTGATGTTGTTGATCTACTATTTGCAGTATGAGGCTGCTTGGCGTACTGCAAACTGGGATTTCTCCTTACTTCACGTTGGGAATAATTCTGTGTCATCAAGTATGCACATCAAAAGTGATCATTTTAATGAAAATTTGCATAGGTAAGAGATATTCGTGCCATACAAGTGAAGAAAACAAAACATATATGTTAGTCTTGAAGTATCTAAGACTGTTTGTTTATCCTTGTTAACGGTCAGTTGTTTGAGGGCACTGAAAAAGGGAGATTTCAATGAGTTTCACGGAAAGCTGAAAAACTCAAAGCAGGTGAGATGGGTCTCAACTTTGTCTCTCCTACAAACTCGACGTTGTGTAATTTTACTTATGTTGTGTGTTCATATGTGTCAGGAGCTTGTGTGGTGTGTTTCTCGTGCTAGTGAAGAAAGTACTGAACACATATATTCAGCAATAATTAAGCTCCAGGTATGTGATAAACATAAAAGGCAGGTGCTCCTTAATATGTTCACTTTTGGCCTCCATTGCTGCTAAATTTTTTGAAGCATGGATTACTTCTGTCAAGGAAAGAGGTTCATTCCAAATCTTAATTTGTAATTGAACAAAGGCATTAGATTGGCATTACGTTCCAGATTTTGAATTCTATTGGATGTCTCTGTTTGGATAGTTGGTCTGATTTTAGTCAATCTTGATAGTAGCAACACATCTCGAAGATGTAGAGAGTTACATGGACAGCATTCTTTCGATCCGAACCAACTTTGGTGTCTATCAGTACTTTTTTCATGCTAATTATTGCATTGGATGCAATACTTATAAATAGTTTAAATATGTCATTTCTGTCCATTACAAGGTTTTTTTTTTAATGATTTAATTTGTCGATTCATTATGCTTGGGTAAACTTTTACATGCCATGAGAACCAGAAAAAACCTGTTACATATTTTCTAAATATTATTACCAAAAAAGAAGAAGAAAAATCATACCTTTTTTTCTTCTTCTTAAACTTATGTATCCTTGCACAGATCCTTTATCATCTTGGCATGGCTTGGGATTTGCGTTGGACATCATCTCATTATGGTGGGGGTATAAATTTTCATCCAGAGATGGAAGAAGTGAATTCTGAACCTGTAATCCCTACCATAAATCAGGTATTACAATGATGGATGAAATAAATTAAGTAGCCTTCATTTGTTTGTTGGTAGATGATCAGTACAAGTGGCTGCAAAATGATACATGTGATTATCATGTTTCTAAATTATGTCATACAATTATTGAAAATTAAATTAGTAAAAAAAAATTCAAGTTAATTTCACTTCATGCACCACTCTGGCACCAAAAATGAGGATTTAGTGGTTGGTAGTCCTGTTGACATTTCCCAATATACTAGCTCAAGAGGATGAGCTACCTATACTACAGATGTATAGGCAAAACAATATTTCATGCAAACCATAAACAGAATTAAATTTGAAGTGTTCAAGAACATTTAGGCCAGGGACCTTGGATAGGATAAAGACCTTTTTTTTCTATTCAAATGATGATTTAGTTTTTTGTTTTCCCGTAAATAGGTTATACAGTGCCCTAAGTATTAATTAAGATTTGGTATATATTGAAGTTGTAATTTTATTTTATTTTATTTTATTTTTTTGCGTAGTAGTAACATGTTAGATAGCTGTATTTACATTAGAAGAAGATTGAGCCTAATCTATGTTCTTTGTTATTGTTTGGGCTTATTTAAGGTTTCTTCTTATAGATGCGTGGTGAAATCATAAAGCATGGTTTAGAAATTTCATATGTGATTAATTTTATTTACCTCAGTTTCAGATATATATATATGTGCATGCACAAATGCCTGGTTGCCTGACATAGTCTTTTACTTTTAATTAGTTATCTTGGCTGAACATGGATTGGAGTTCCATTTTGGAACGGACCCAGTTACACATGAATTTACTAGAGCCTTTGATAGCGTTCAGGCGAGTTCTACTTCAAATCTTAAGTTGTAGGGACTGTATGGTGCAACATCTTCTGCAGTCCACATCTACCCTCCGTAAGGTACTTTCAGCATTTCATAATCATAGAACCATAGTCTTAAGGAGTGTCTTATGTCTGGCTGGTTTTCTGTGTTGAGTGGCTTTGAGTCTGTTTTTTGGCAAGTGTGTCTGTTTGGTCTGTGTCCTAAATGTCATCATTTTTTCCATTCAATTTTGAATAAAAAGTGTTTCTATTCAAAAAAAAATAATCATAGAACCATCCACTTAACCCCATTTCCTGATATCTCCTTGTCTGTTTTTCCTTGTTATACAGGGTTCTAGATTTTCTCAAGCAGCTGCAGCTCTGCATGAGTTTAAGTTCCTCTGTGTCGAATCAGGAGAGCAAGATTCGTCCATATATTGGCTTGGAAGGGTACATAGTTTTTATAATTCTTAACCTGCTTTGAGTACATATAAGAGCTCCTATTTGAGAATTTCTTTTTTTTACTATAGATCCTGCTTTACTACATCTGTAGTCGCAAGACTCAAATTTTTGTGGACAACTTTTGATGTTGTAGAGTGCAGGCAAGTTCTAAATAATGACTTCCTGCAATATCTCCCTTAAAGTTAATTTCTTTCTCACATTTGAGAATATATCCTCTTTTTTGTTGTCTCTAATTATTCAAACATCAGCTACAATGTCTTAGGACTGTGAATCATTGTTAAGCTTTTTTAATGGCGGGCTCACTCTCTTCACATGTAACCCGCCATCTAGATTTGAATGTTTATAAGATCTGTGGGAACTGTTGCCTGATACTTTTCTTTTACACAATTACTTGATTTTTCCAACAAACTTCTGAGTTGCTTCCATGTCTGGGTGGATGGAAACAACATGCAAAACAGAATTTAATAGCTTCTACTTAAACTTCATTTTCAAGTGCAAGGTTATTGCTATGCTTTATTTGTTCAGTAGAAACATGTTCTCTCATAGTCCTTTCTCTGAATCTGTGAAGAGTGTATGTTTCACTTTGCGGCCTTTTCTGGTTTGTTTTAATAAATTTGGTTTTAATGTGTCTGTCTGTCTAAATGTTTCTGTCATCCTTTTTCAAAAGTCGACTTTTATTTCTTGGCAGCTTGAAGAAGCTAAGCTTTTGCGTGGCCAAGGTCAGCATGAGATGGCAATCAGCCTCGCAAAATATGTCTCACAAAATTTCCTGTCAAATGAAGAGTCTTCAGATGTTCATCGCTTGGTTGGGAAGTGGCTGGCAGAGACTAGATCTAGCAAGTTATAGAAAATCTTAACTACTGATTAATTTGATTTTGGATGTGAATAGAAGATATACTGATTTTTCTTTTAATTCTTTGTCTGGAATATAAATTCAGCTCGAGAACTATTTTAGAGAAGTATTTGAAGCCTGCTGTTTCACTTACTGAGAATCAGAAGGCTGCAGACAAGAAGTCCAGAGATAGACAAAGCCGAACACATTTTCATCTTGCACACTATGCAGATGCTCTATTTAGGAGTTATGAGGAAAGACTAACCTCTAATGAGTGGCAAGCAGCCATGCGTTTAAGGAAACACAAGGTACTCAAGAATAACTTAGAACAAGAACTCAAAGTTACTCAAGTTCAGTGTTTTTGAGCAATTTTGTGTAATTGACAATTTCACAGACAATGGAATTGGAAGCACTTATTAAACGGCTAAAATCTTCGACAAAGGTAAATTCAAACCATTATTATGTTTCCTTATTTGCCATTTTGGTTTATAGGTACCATGGGGATAACCTGCCAAGTTTCCATGGCATTTTTTTCTTCTTCCATATATAATTTTAGGGGGAGAAGATTGACTACTCTGTCAAAATTCAAGAGCTGCAAAAGCAACTTGCAATGGACAAGGAGGAGGCCGAAAAACTTCAGGTAGTTGTTATACCTTGGTTTGTGTTGGGAGGGGCAATTTTAACAACTAGTGAATAATCTGTGGGACATCTGGATCTAAAATCTGGGCTTCCTTTGTAAAATGCAGAGAGTGGTGAGCATATCTACGGGAATTGACTTGTAAAAATATAATCTACTTTTAACGGTTGTATTTGTTTTCATTAACTTCTCAGGATGACGGGGACAATTTCCTTAACCTAGCATTGGAGGGATATCAACGTTGTTTGGTTGTTGGCGACAAATATGATGTGCGAGTGGTATGCACTTACTTTCAACGTCTATGTCCAACTGAACCTAATCTAGCACTATAATTATGTAGTGAATGGTCCTGGGAGTCTCTGACCCTTAATGTTGATTACTTTTGCATGAGGTTAATTTTTATTCAATTTGAGCAGAAAACAAAAATTGTTTGCCTTGGATTAAATGGAAAGTTTTACACGAATAAAAGCCATCCTCATTGATATATTTTATTGTTGAACAGTGTATAATGCCATTGAGGGGCTAACACGTGCTTTCAGGTTTTTCGGCTAATTTCCCTGTGGTTCTCTCTCTCTTCTAGAAAAAATGTCATAGACAGCATGCTTACTGCAATCACTGAGGTACGTTGTGAATGAGAACAATATTATTAATCAATATTTGAAATAATAGAAACCAAATTTCTATAGTTTTCTGTAAAAAAGTAATATATATATATATTATACATATACACACACACACACACACACACACACACACACACACATATGTTTCTGGATTATGAATGCTATATAAGAGTTGTGCTTGATTTGTAATCCAATACTTTTACAGGTTCAGTCTTACAAATTCATCCCTTTAGTATACCAAATTGCTTCGAGAGTGGGTAGCTTGAAGGATTGCCCTGGACCTCGTAATTTTCAGGTTCACATTGAGCTCATATTCTTGGCTCCTTAAGAAGTTGGGAGTATATTCTGATTCTAATTATTGGATGTGCAGTTTGCCTTGGTTTCTCTTGTAAAGAAAATGGCTATTGACCATCCATACCATACTATCTTTCAGGTATTCAAGATTAATTTTAGTGGCCTCAGCTGGCCTGAAATTCCAAGCATGTTTCGTTCTTGAGTAATATGCATACAAGGGTTTCATATTTCTGTATGAATTGCTATAGTAAGTAAAATAGGAAACAAAAACCTTCTCATTGCCAATATTGCACCACAAGTACCATGCTTTTTTCAATCGTGCTCATTGTGAATATGGTCTTGTCAACCTGTTTTATGCATTGAAATAATGTTGAATATTTTACTTTCCCATCTGTACTTGCACTAGCTTCTAGCATTGGCAAATGGTGACCGTATCAAGGACAAGCAGCGCAGTAGGAACTCATTTGTGGTAGATATGGATAAAAAGCTTGCAGCAGAGAATCTTTTACAAGAGTTAACATCATATCACGGAGCTATGATAAATCAAGTATTTTGCATTATTTTTCCAGATCAAGTGATTTATCTTAATTTATTGTTATATCTATATGAACTAAAAATGTGTACAGATATATTTATGGATGCATTCTTTTATTAGATGAAACAAATGGTAGAGATCTATATCAAACTTGCTGAACTAGAAACAAAGAGAGAGGTTAGTGAAATGGATATCAAGTTGAGCTTTTCTTCTTCCTAATTACACATTACTACTGATCCTAGTCTTTTAATATCTTAATTCAATAACTTTGTTGCATTCCTATGATGAAGGAAAAGCCTTAAAACAGTTTTGTCTGCTACTACCTGACTAGATTGTGTCAACAGGATACCAATAGAAAGGTAATGCTACCAAGAGAACTGCGTAATCTTCAACAGCTGGAACTTGTAAGTACAGCACTATTATAGTTTGTACTTAGGAATTTGATAGGGACGTGATGATTGATACTGTGAAATCTTTCTATGATAAACAATGGTATTTTGGGAAGTGAAGGTTATTCTTGTTTTATTACTTGAAAATTCCAATTTGAATAGACTGATTAGGTGATGTGGCATCTTAATTGGTTTTTGCATCTATTTCTTAACTAATTAGTAGGCTTGCATTTATGATGAAATGGCAGGTGCCTGTTGTGACAGCTACCTTTCCCATTGACCAGAGTTGTCAATACCATGAAGGCTCTTTCCCCTACTTCAAAGGATTAGGGGATTCGGTTATGTATGTCTTTGCATTATTATGAAATTCCGTATCAATATGTCTTTTTATAATCTTCTTACCATAAGAGATGCTACGTTCTGATGTATTTTGGTGTATATACAGGGTAATGAATGGTATAAATGCTCCAAAGGTGGTCGAATGCCTAGGTTCTGATGGCTGCAGGTACAGACAGCTGGCAAAATCTGGAAATGATGATCTAAGACAGGATGCTGTAAGAGTTTCTATTCGGTGTTTGTATGTCGGCTGGGTGTGCGTTCGTGTGCCTGTAAATGCATATCTTTTTGTCTATATTATTTGTCTTGCCATCTAACTCCTTTGGGGACAGTATGTAAAAGTTCAAGCTTTCTGATAAAGGCACTGAAGCTTCAGAATTTTTACCTGACTATTCCCAAACGTCCATTCCTACTTTAAAACAGTGCATTGAACATGCTATTCTTAATTTGGTACCCTTACAACTTTTGTTGTCTAGTTACTTGCCACTCTTCAGGTGGGATCGGTGCTATGTGAGGTTACATGGAACATTAGTAATATTACTCTTTAGTCTTTACTTAGCTTTGCTATGAGTCCTTGTCTTCTCTGGAGTCTTGCTTGTTTCTAATTTTTTTTTTTCCTAAAATAAATGTTTTAGTATCCTGTTTCCTTTTAGGAACAAATGCTTCTGTCATGTTTTCACATATATAAGATTCATTATAAATTTACAGGTAATGGAACAATTTTTTGGTTTAGTCAACACCTTTCTACAGAACCACCGGGATACATGGAAAAGAAGATTAGGAGTGCGCACATACAAGGTATTTCTTCAACACATAACGACATATCAGATCCCATCATGATCAAGGGGAAGGTTGATATTTAATTTGGTGAAAAGGAAGAATATCACCAAAATTTTCTTTTTGGATGATTGTTCTAGTGCATGAGGAATTAGTACCCTCTTCTTTTTTTCTTCTTTTTTTTTTGCATTTTTGAAACATCACAGTTTAAATTTCCATTGAGAAATTTTCCATGCATGTAATCAGGTCTGTATCATGTCTCTTTAAGTATTCATGTTATTAAGATAGAGATATTTGAATCCCAAAGGGGGATGGAAGTTGATATCTGATGGGGATGGGACTTCAATAATTCCTTTATGCATTTTGAGGATTTAGTAATCAATGAACTCTTATGCGCAAAAATTGCATTATTGATTCCGACTGCATATGCATCGGTTTTGTTATAAAAAATAAAATCCTAACAATAATCTTTATCATCTAATTCTTTTACCTATTGAAATCGCAATGTTCTTGATGCGATAGGTAGTTCCATTTACTCCAAGTGCTGGTGTTCTTGAATGGGTTAATGGCACTCTTCCTCTTGGTGAATATCTTATAGGAAGGTAATGGGTACCATCTTTTAGAGCCTACTTGAGGTTTTAGAATGATTGAATAATATGGTTTTTCTAACTTTCCTTTTTCAATTTTCAGCATGAGAAATGGAGGTGCCCATGGTCGCTATGGAGTGGGGGACTGGTCATTTCATAAATGCCGAGAACATGTGGCAAATGCAAGTATCACTGCTTACAATTTGTAACAGTAGGAAGAATTTTGTGATTTAAGAAAACCAGTTAATTGAAATGGCATAAATAATAAAGGATGGTGTTCTCCTATTCACTAAACCTAGAAAGTTTTGTACGAAGTGTTTGGAAACACCTTTTTTTGGGACAAACATTTATGTCTGAATACCAAAATTGTATTCATGTCTCTCAAATTTATGCATATATGGGGCTTAATATTATTTGTTTTCTTTACTTATAATTAGATCTTTCACTTATGTGTAAAGTGAAATGCTAGGCTTAACGTTAGCTCCAATATTGTAGGTGTTACAAAATAGTATGGATAGTAGATGTCTTGGAGAGAGAGCTAGAGTTAACAATTCTATTTTGAGTTTCACAACTTACGAATGCAAAAAAAATGTTACAGAGCAGATTAGAGTTATCATACTAGTACTCTCATTCAAAAGCATATTTTCACCTTTAACAAACTTGCATAAATGCTTTGGTCTTTGACAGGGAAAGGACAAGCGCAAGGCATTCCAGGAAGTTTGTAGGAAGTTCAGGTATTTCAGACCTGTCTTTGACATGGAGAACACCTAGTTTTCCAAAATTTTAACTTGTTAACCTCTTAATTCAATTGACACACCTCATGCAGGCCTGTCATGCATCATTTTTTCTTGGAGAGATTCTTGCAACCAGCTGACTGGTTTGAAAAGAGACTTGCATACACGCGAAGTGTTGCTACTAGTTCAATGGTTAGTGATTTATACTCGTTCTGTGGCAGTTGAGTTTGGACATGGTCTTTAATAATAGGGAATGTCATAGTTTCAACTTCCAAGCCTTGTTAGAGATGTTCTCACCATGGAACTGACAAACCACTTGTCCATAATAATGCATATAATGTACCGAGGCCCTATTCCAAACATCCAAACCTTTGTTCTTATGACAAAATGTCATTGTAGTTCAAATCCAAATAATAGTTTCCAGTCTTTTTCACTAAGAATAATCTCTTTAGGATGAATCCTGCTTAATTTATAAAGATGACTGCATGATTGTCTACTTGTTGATAATTCTGGAAATTGCACTCCATATTCAGGTTGGTTATATTGTTGGCCTTGGAGATCGACATGCTATGAATATCTTAATTGATCAAACCACTGCAGAAGTTGTTCATATAGATCTTGGTGTTGCCTTTGAACAAGGCTTGATGCTTAAAACACCAGAACGGGTTTGTACTTTGTGATTATGTTTCCCCTTCTGAGCCTGTTTGTGTAGCTTCCTGACTTTAGTATGGTTCAATGTTCTTATCTTAACAAATTTTTACAGGTTCCATTCAGACTTACAAGGGACATCATTGATGGAATGGGTGTCACTGGAGTGGAAGGGGTTTTCAGAAGATGCTGTGAAGAAACTCTTTCTGTTATGAGGACAAATAAAGAAGCACTACTGACCATCGTTGAAGTATGTAACTTTAGTCGATTTCTCAAATAAATAAATAAAAATCGAAACTTCTTGCTTCTCTTGATATCAGATGGGATTTCTATGCAGGTTTTTATTCATGATCCACTTTATAAGTGGGCTTTATCGCCTCTGAAAGCTTTGCTGCGTCAAAAGGTAATGGAAACTTAACTGTGTTTACATTCAGTGTATGCATATGCAATCTGAGTCCAGGACTTGTCTGCCAAGAAATGGCAAGGGGATGGGATAAATTGGGGCCTTTAAAAAATTATCAACATCAGATAATGTGTTAAAATTATTTACAAATTAGAACGGCATTGACAACTTAAAAATTTGAACATAGTGGAAAACAAGGTTTCCTAAGTTTTGTCTCTTTCACCAAAATTATGTTTACATAGCGAGCTTAGGTGGACAAATTCCACTTACTATCAAAGCTCAGAACCTAAAACAATGATAATAATGTTTTGGCCATTTTGACTTAAAGTAATTACTTCATAGAATATGCCACCTTCAAACGTTTGATTCAGTCATCCATCTCAGTTGACATTCTTAAATTGGTTCACACTTAGCAGCTGTTCAAACTACCCCAGCTTGCATTATTGATTATACTGAATAAATTTATTTTTCTTGGTAAGGAAACGGATGACGACTTGAATTTAAGCTTGGAAGGCTTGCAAGATGGATATGAAGGTAATAAGGATGCTGCACGTGCGTTGATGCGTGTAAAACAAAAACTAGATGGATACGAAGAAGGAGAGATGCGAAGCATACATGGACAGGTAATTCTCGAGTGCCACAGTTACATCGACTTTATAGCCTCCTTGTATATTCTTTCTTTTACCTTTTGGTTGATAAGGTTGGGTACCCATACTGCATCAAACAACTAGCACCAATGAACATGGTATTATTACAGCTGTGCCAATGTTGAGCATTACCATACAATGGACATTGATTCCCTCTCATGTAAAAATTGTGTGACAGAGGAATCAGTTTTGACATCTCTTTTGGCGCAATCCTAGTGGTCCTCATCTAGTGATTCATATAGATGCCAAGTTTTTCATCTGCCTCACTGTTTACAAGGGAAACCAAAGATCCGGTGGTTAAAATACAAAGAGCATATCGAACTTATCTATTAGTGGCAGATGATAATCTACTTCTCAAATACCTTTAACCAGAAAAATTCCAGCCTTCATTATCAAGGCCGTATGCACTAGATCAGGAAAACTTCCAGCCTCTTGTACGGAAACACCCTTGCCAATCTCAACAAGAATTATAACTATTGTGGAACTAGCCCTGTGAGGACCTTTGCTTCCTCAGGCACATTGTGGAACTAGCCCTGCAAATGGAGAGACCTTCTTTGGGTTTAATACTTAGTTGAGAATGGTGCGATTTAAATACATTTTAGCTTTGGGTATCTGTCATAAGACAAATCTAAATTTGCAGGTTCAACAACTTATACAAGATGCTATCGATCCTGAGCGTCTTTGTCAACTGTTTCCTGGATGGGGAGCATGGTTGTGATGGATTTTTCTCCATCAGCTTAGTCATATCCCAACAGCTTCGAATCATCTTGTATAGGCGGCATTAAATTTTATCAAGTTTTGTGATCTGTTCCTTTCTTCTGTATATATTCCCGAGGATACGAGGTGTAGTTGGTCCATGTATAGTGTGCTCCAATGCTTATGGCAGCTAGTTGCATCAGGTCAATTAGATTGTAATTATGTAAGCAATAATGTATATCGTTTGGGTGGTGTGGGTTTAATTTCCTTTGTGCGTCAACATTGTACATCGAACCTCGAACCTCAAACGTAGGGACAAATTAGAAGGAAAAACAAAAAAGCCGACAAGTATATAGTTTATAAGAAAACACTTGAGAGAACTCAATTGGAGAAAAAAAAAACCATAATCTAGCTACTTGTCATTTTCTAATTGGTCCTTAGTGTGTTACGTTCTTTCCATTTAAAAGTACCTCAGGCTGTTTTCCTTATAGTACTGGGTTTGAAGAGTTTTCTTCGAAAATGTAAAGTTCTTTCCATTTAAAAGTACCTCAGGCTGTTTTCCTTATAGTACTGGGTTTGAAGAGTTTTCTTCGAAAATGTAAAGTTCTTTCCATTTAAAAGTACCTCAGGCTGTTTTCCTTATAGTACTGGGTTTGAAGAGTTTTCTTCGAAAATGTAAAGTTCTTTCCATTTAAAAGTACCTCAGGCTGTTTTCCTTATAGTATTGGGTTTGAAGAGTTTTCTTCGAAAATGTAAAGTTTTCATGGGAAAGCCATACTGCAAAGAAATTATATTAAAATGTATACGACCACGTGCAAGAATGTTTATACACCTTAATTTGCTTATTGGGCTTTTGCTTCTTGTCTTACAAGCAGCCAAGTGCTTGGGGCATGTTTGGGAGCGCCGCTTTTAAATTGTATTTATCATTTTTGTTTTTAATTTTGGGTTTAATCGTACCTATCCGTTATTGGAATATGGTGAATTTTACTCGGTTTTCCTATTATACCTTTCATGAAAAGCAAAAAAAATTAAAAATAAAAACATATACAATTTGTCTCTCTAAGGCAGAATATGAAGGAATGCTCAAGCTTCGGTCGACCTGCATAAGCCCAAGTTTCTATTATTATTAGGAAGACATTTGACCTTTTTTATTTGAAATCCCGAAGATCAAAATGCGTTGACCCAAGGAGATTTGTGAAGAAAAAAAAGTGCAGACTGCTAGTGGCTGCACTCTTGTTGTATCACTGTTTCAGCTGGGATCTTTGTCCGACCCACTGAAACCGAGAGAGGTCGGCCCACAGGTTCAGCAGTTCCATTCTATTGGTCTCACAATCATGCCTTAAATTATTTATTTTATTTTCTCTGCAAAGACATAGCCAGCCACGTTGAAGACCCTTGAGATCAATATAAGTAGAAAAACTTATATATAACAGGGATAGTACTGTTTTGTTATTTCCAACCAATAATAGACTGCCACGTAGAAAAGTTAGGTGTTTCTACCCAAAGTGTATCAAATTTGCCCATCCCACATGGCAAAAGAAAAGCGGGAAAGCTATGAATACAGCTTAGCACCAAAAGAAAAATAAAAAATCTATGAACCCATGTCGTGTTACCTTTAATCCAGGACAAGTTAGGGTGGTGAAAAACTGCTCAATAACATTTAGACACAAACACGCAGACGTGTGACAAAACATTCATTACTTCAAAGAGAAAAAAATATATATCTCAAGATTCAAGCTCTAACCAATCCACAAATCCATGACCCCTCAATTAAATGTTTGATTCACAATATCGTCCCCATCCAATCTCCCTACCGACCAATCTGAGCAGGTATTTATAAATTTTGAGCAACCCCTTTCCCATGCCAATGATGTGTTCTTGCCTCTCTCATTTTATTTTCAAAAAGGCCAAAAAGTGAACAGATATTTACAAGGGTACTGTAGTAATTCCATACGGTTCAAAAATCCACCGGGTATAGTTTTGGGTTTGGGTAAACCGCCATAGCGAAAAAAGAGTCCAGAGAGCGCCTATGGCCTCCCTTTTGGTAATAAAACGACGGGTGATCAAAACAATTAGCGCCGCACCGCCTTTTTTACAAAACAAAAACAAGGCGGTTCCGTTAGTTTTTCCTGAACTGTATTTATATTTTCTTCTTCTTCTTCTCTCCTTCTCCAAGCAAACACGGTTTTCTCATTTAAAACAAAACCCCAACGCACACACTTACAATAACACAGACAATTTCAGAATCTCACAATTCCGTTATGATTTCTTACACACCCTCTTCAAATCCCATTTTCTTTATTTCTGGGTTTTCTTTGGTTTTCTCATAATCACTCTGCTCACTTCTTTTTTTGTGATTTGAATTTCATATAAAACCACCCCTTTGCAATTACATCTCTCTCTCTCTCTCTCTCTCTCTCTCAAAACTGTCCAGAAATGTATACGTACTGTTTATATTTTTAGTAAGTTTGCCTTTTTTAGCGTTCTCAGAATTTGCCGACTCTTCTTAAGTCCCATCCTTTGTATACATACAATTTCATTTCTGTTTTGTTGGATCAATTTCGTTTGCTCCAACACTTTCTGGGTCTGAATCAAATTCTTCTCTGATTCTTTCTTTGGTTTAAGAAAAAACAGAGTTTCTTTATTCTTTTGCTTAACCTCCACGAAACTCTAATACGTGTCCATATTTAGTCTCAGATTGTAAACCACACTAGATTTCCTTCCACTTTCTTCTGGGTTTTATTGCAATGGCGTGTAGCGGTGTTCAAGGTCGGTTGTCCTCTGTTTTCACCGACGGGAGCAACCCTCATGGTTTTACAGCGTTTTCTTCTGAAAATTCATCCAAAGATGAACTCAACGATCAACTTACCGATTCGGGTACGAGTGATACGGCCTCAGAGACCTCCGTCCAAGATCCAGACTCGTTGATCTCGGACTGCGAAAGTGTCGTCGATTCGGGCTCCAGTTCTGCGCAATCGCGGATGTTCAATGATGGGTTGGTCGCACTTTTCGACGGGGACAGAGTCCACGATCTCATCAAGAAGAGGTTTGTTTCAAGTTTGGGTTTGCTTGGACCGCACGCCAATGTTGTGGCCATTCATAGAAACTCCTATTCTAGCCTTGTGGGGCAAGCAAGGCTGCGTTCGTTTCAAATTTACTTGAAAGCCGTAGAGGAAAAATGTGATGGCAATCCCAATGTGAAATATGCTTGGTATGCACCTTCTTCTAAGGATGAGATTTCTAAGATCATCTGCCATGGTTTTGGTCACCATGAGAAGCCTCAGAAAGATGGGTTATACGGCAGTGGCGTCTACCTTGCTCCTGATGATTCTCCTATGACATGGTGAGTGATTGCTCTGTCCCAATTTCTTGGACTACTCAACTTGGAATTGAATAAGTCCATTAATTAATTTATATGATTGTTTGACGAATTCTCATGCCGACTTAGACTTCTCTTGATTCTTTAATTTAACAACTGCTCATCTGTTTTTCATTGTGTAGAAGTTTGATTTTGTCACTTATTTTCAACATTTGGTTGACAAATTTGTTTTGTGTTCTAGTGTGGAAGGCTCCAATGCTGATGAAGACGGTCTGCGACATCTTTTGCTCTGCCGTGTTATACTGGGGAGGCTAGAGGTTGTGCATCCTGGTTCTGAACAGTATCATCCAAGTTCCGAAGAGTTTGATTCTGGTGTGGACAATCCTTTTGCTCCGAAGAAGTATATAGTATGGAGCACCTACATGAACACTCACATCTTGCCAGAATATGTCATTAGCTTCAGAGCTCCTACTTGCTTGAAAGGTATGCAACTTTCTCAACTTTATAAAAAAATATATATATATTCTGTCTGGATTTGTTTCTACAGTGTTTGGAATCTATAGTTCATGTTCTACACTTTTGTTTCATGATGTAGGGTTCTTAAAGACTCAAGAATCAATTAAGAAACCAACTTCACCTTGGATGCCATTTCCAGCTCTAATTGGTGTACTTTCAAAGTTTTTGCCTCCACCTACCATTGCTCTGATCAGCAAGCATTACAAAGATCACCGGGTAAGTAGTACTTCATTGCATTTGTAGATTGGTACTCTTTTTGTAATAAAAAATTTATTATTGTCCTCATTTTTGTGAACCCTTCTTTCTTTCAGGAGAACAAAATCTCAAGGCATGAACTAATACAAAGAGTGAGACAAATAGCAGGAGACAAGTTACTGGCTTCAATCATCAAATCTTTCAGATCAAAGGTATGAAATTTGTTTTCTTCTTTTTTATTTGGCAGAGGATTGAATAAGAACTTATTTTCAAATTGTTTAATATTCTTGTTAAGCATTTAATTTCTTAGGAAATCATTACCTTTATTTTCAATTCAATATTCTGCCTAGCTGGTCCTTCTTGGCTACTTGCTTACCAAGGCAGAGAATTCCTTATTTGGGAGTTTTCTTGGTGCAGGTTCTGTCAACATTAAAAGTATGTTTAGTTATATACAAGTCTTCCCAATTCAGTGAACTCACATCAAATTTATTTTCCAACTCTCTTGCATAAAGTGGTCCCAACATAAAATTTGATATAATTTTATAATCTTATAAATCAAAGGTTTCATGCTCTCCTAATTCCCATGTATTACATAATTTGTGTATAATAATCTGATTGTAGATTTTTTTATTTTTTGGTGCAGCAAATCAAAGGTTTGCAAAGGGTTGCTCAAAATGGAGGCAGAAATGGGATGGAATTCAAAAATAACACAGGCGGTGTAGATGAACAACATATTCCTTTGTTGGGATGATGAGTTAAACAGTGCACAGTTGCAAGTTGCAGTAGGGGGGAGGATCCAATTGACATATTCTAACCACAAGTGAGGGGTTCCAGTCCAGTAGAGATGCCTGAGGGGTTTTTCTATAGTTTTGGGATCTACCTAGAAGTCAATAGTAAATTTTACCTAATTTTCTATTTTTCTTTCTGTTACCCTGGTCACACTGACACTGTACTGGTTGAAATTGAATTGGTGCTGTCCGCAATCAACGGTTGAGACTTCTTGATGATAATGATGATGATGATGACATATTCTCTTATCTTATTTCTTTTCTTCTTTCTTACGTGGGGTTTTTGTTTTTTTTTTTGTTTTCTAGTACCAAATATTCTCTCATGTCATGGATGGAGATATGATGCTCTGAATGACATGAGAAACCAGAGAAAGAGCATATGCCTACTTTCATATCAATTATTGATCCTTTCTTTCTTTTACTAAAAGGATCCCAAGCCATTCTTGGTGCCTAAGACAATGGTAAAAGGTTCCCTCTTCTGCTAAGTCACCCATGGAACACTCCAAAAATGATGCTATTTTCCTTCAAGAATAAATTCTACTGTTGTTGAATGATAACATTCTTTCTAAGGCCTTCAAAGTAAATAAGTGGACAGCCAAAAGTATTATTCCGCACCTAAGGCCTACTTATATCAGCCCAATATAGACTGAAGCTGGACCTCATGCCTGCTTATCAGCTTTGCTCAAGCAGATACTTGGTTTTTTTTCATTGAAATGGATATTGTTTGAAAGGGGGATTGGGTTTGTATGTATAAAGATACTTGGTGTTCATGTTTGTTCGGGGTGGGCATCAATCCGGCTGAACCGGTTACATCGGCCAATTCAAACCGCATTTACCAGTTTCATTTGGTTTTGACCAATTAAGAAACCAACTTCACCTTGGATGCCATTTCCAGCTCTAATTGGTGTACTTCCGAAGTTTCTGCCTCCACCCACAATGGCTTTGATCAGCAAGCATTATAAAGATCACAGCATGAAATGGTCAACTTGCAGTAGGGAGATTAATATGGTGGACAAAATGACATATTCTAACCACAAGTGATGCCTAAGGGATTTTTCTGGAAATTCACTAGTTTTGGGATCTACTTAAAAAGTCATAGTAATTTTTACCTAAGAAAGAGCATGTGCCTACTTTCATATCAATTATTGATCCTTTACCCAATTTATTACAAGGATTCCAAGCCATTCTTGGTGCCCAAGTCAAGGGTGAATTGTTCCTCAAGTCATGGTTTTTACATGGCCTAAATTGTACTGTTGAACCACAATCTTTATTTATTTGATATTTAAAATAAATAAATAAAACGAAAATCTTTATACTGGAATAAAAATATTGCGAAGAATAAAAAGCATAATTCCGCTGCCGGGATTCAAACCGGTTTAAACTGATCCAATTTGTTTTCTTGAGCCCAATATTAAACGAAGTTGGGCCTATAAATAATAGCCAATGTAACAATAAACTTATAGAAGCCCAATCTTGACTGAACGTAGGCCTCAGCCCAATATTATCAGATTTGCTAAAGCTAAATTTTTTATTATTGATAATATATATATATATATATATTTTATCGTGCAAAAGACAGAAAATAGTGAAACATTCAAAATACCAGAAAATGCCATTGACTAATACAAATATTAAAAATTAAAATTATTAATTAAATGATGATAATATGACCAATTTATATTTTTCATATTAAAAAATTAAAATTAAAAGCAAAATTAGATAACAAATTCTATTTTTATGAAACATAACTACCCATTTTATCTTTTCTTGATTTTAAAAATAAATAAATAAAATTAAAACAATAAAACAATAAAGAAAACCAATTGACAAGCATGAGAATGTGACAAGGAGCTAGTGATATTTATGTGACAGCCTTCGAGAGGATGTCTTCCTCGCGAAAATTGAAATTTTCCTTTATTCTTATTTCTTTTCTTTAAAAAAAATATTTGATGCCACATTTTTCCATGGATGGTCGGTCCACGGTGTTTAGGATAATTGTAAAACGACAACGGGTTTAGGTGATAACTGTGGGCCGTGCTGTTCCATTGCCACACCACTCCAAGATCATCAATCAGTCACCCATGTAAGCGTAAAAGCAAAGTTCTAGATGTTTTAATGCTAAAAAAAAAAACTGTTGTAATATAAGACAAATAGACACTATTATAAATAGATGCAATCGTCTTTTCATTGACTTATCCAAAATTTCACACGGAATTACAGTAAACGTCTTTTACGTACACGTGGATAGTTGTCGGTTGTTGATGAATTACGCTAACTGTGTTTATATGTAGATGTATACGCATGATTTACTGTAAAATTAGAGAGCAAGCCTTGTTTGGAGGTTTATTATTAGAGGGGAATGATTTGATTGGAAATATTTAGTGTATTTTTATGTACATATGCTCCTTTGATGATTATGAGACTCGATCATTTGTTCTTATAATTCAATAAAACGCATGGTATACCAACAATATCAAAGCTTGCTCACGCTAGCTGTTCATAATTGCAGCTAAAAAGATGCCTTACTTGCTTTCAAAGGCTAATCTCATTAATGCAGTGTGTTATATTTATTAATCTTAATACTATTTATTTCCCCAAACGTGCTTTTACATTACTTGCAAAATTTAATCTCATCACACAAAAAAAAGAATTGTATATAATTCAAACGCCAAAATAATGAGCAAGCAAGGAATGGATTGCATGACCCATGACATTGTTTCATGCAGAATGTGCTATTCACACCTAAACCATTGCTATTCATACCATATGTGTTTCATCCTATGCATTAATATAGAATGATTAATTGAAACAAATTTTTTGAGAGAGAGAAACCCAAAAATCATCCACCCATGTTAGGCCACATCATTGGTAGATTATATTTTGGTGGGTGTGTTGATCATTTTTTTGTTCTCAAAGTCAGGCAATCCATGTACCACAGGGATTAGTTCCGGACAATCCAACTAACACCCTATTGGTGATGTGTTGATCAATTCAAGAAGCGAGGAGCACCATTGGGCCTTGGAGTGTTAAGCAATTGGTAGGTAACATGAAACAAAACCTCAAAAAGTACATCCATTTGATTTAGCTCATCAAATCATTTCATCAACCCTTATGATTAGGATTATTATTAATAATTAATAATAAGGGTAGGTGGGTTTAATAGGCAAATGATAATACTTTTCTATGAAAAAGAGGTTGTCTTGTTCACACAAATAGGTTGGAAATTTTTAAAAAAACGTATGATATGTCACAAAACAAGGTTTTCATATCCACATCATCACAACTTGCATAGTTTCCTGCTAAACATCTGAGAATTTCCAAAATATATATCTTGATCTACAAGTATCAAGTTGGTGGGTTTAGTCCCCATCAAAAGAACTTGGTGGTTTAGATAAATCACTAATTTAATTATATAATTATTTAATGAATGAGAACAAGGAGGGTCACCTTCAAGTATTCTTGCTCAGGCAGGCAGACACCACAATCTGAAATGAATTAATCCTTTTTTTTTTTTTTTACGCACACAAAGATGAAGTTTTATCTATATATATAAAGCAAAAGTCAGAGAATGGTGAAACTTTTAAAATACCAGAAAATACCCTTGGTTAATTCAAACATTAAGAATTGAAATTATTAATTAAATGAGAATAATATGGTAAATTCACATTTTTTCATATTTAAAAAAATTAAAAATAAAATCAGATAATAGGTCCTATTTTTATGGAACATAACTACCCATGTTATTTTTTCTTAATTCTAAAAATAAAAGAAAAAAGAAAATCAATTGGCACATGCGTGAAGGGGCTAGTTATGTTTATGTGAAGATTAATGATAATAATAATAATAATTTTATGTAAGATTAACAACCCGGCAACCTGTTGTTTTGTTTTTGATCTTCTTCCAACGGCTTCTTTGTACACGTGTGAACTCATGGGCTTCACACGCGACATGACAGCCCACATACGAGTACTGGTCACCCTCCTCCTCTCACTTGTCATCTGAATGCGTTTTTCTTGCGAAAAATAAAAATCCTTTAATTTCCCTTACGTAATTATTATAATTAATTAAAATATGATAGCCAACTGCAACTAGCCGCCCACCTTTCCATTTCTTCCACCCCATCATTAATAATATACTTAATATAGCATATAATTTCCCCAATAAAATTATTCATCTCAAAAACAGAAAAAGAAAAAAGAAGCCAGAACATAAGCGTGAACAGTGAACAGGTGGCAGGCGGAGGGGGGCGATTGTCCCAAACAAACCTCTCATATTTAGTAACTCACACACACACACACAGAGCGGCAGGAGCTTATCCTAATTTTCACAATAACGCGTATTCAATTTCCAGGGTATAGTAGAGTTTATATGTGACCAAAACCGAAAAACCAAAAAACCCCAAAAAAAAAAAATTAAAAAACAAAGACTTTAGTTTTTTTTTTTAAATTTAAAATTTAGCGTCGGAAAAATTGAAGCCATTTTTCACAACCACTCAGAGTCACAAAAAATCATTTATATAAACCCAAATCCAAGGTGAAGGGTCAAGCCCCACACTTTGGGTCATTCTCATTTCCACCCAACCCTCCTCTCTCTCTCTCTCTCTCTCTCTCTCTCTCTCTCTCTCTGCTCTGTTTGCTCTGAATTAAAATATCAAAAAGCTGCACAGAGAGAATTGAATTGAAGAAGCTACCAAATTGATAATAATGCAGGCTGCTTCAGGTCCATTAATCTCACTCTCTCCCAGCTTCAACACCTATTCTTCCTCCGACCGACTCGCTCAGATCGCCGCTCGAGTCGTCAGCGAGTTAACCTCTCAAGATCATCAACTCAACCACGATGAGCTCGACTGGGAAAGTTTGTACGCTACTCATCATCTTGAAGAAGAAGAAGAACTAGTAAAACAACAACAACACCGACAACCCCAAAACGACGGCGTACATGAGGAGGCGGAGGAGGAGGAAGAGGAATTTGAGTTTGCTTTTGTCGGCAGAGACACGCACACGTCGCCTATCTCAGCTGACGAGATTTTCTCCAACGGCCAGATCAGGCCCGTCTACCCTCTCTTCGACCAAGACTTATTAAAAGAGCACAACGGCGTCGTATCTCCTAAAAACGTTAACGGCGATGCCGACGCCGTTAATAAGAACAACTCCAAGGCAGCTACGACGCCGAAGCAACGTCGTTTGCCGCTCAGAATGCTCATGATCGAAGAGGAGCGCGAAACCGCATCGTGCTCGTCCTCCGAGGCCGACGACCTCGAGAACCTGCCACCTGGTACCTACTGCGTGTGGGCCCCCCCGAAGACCAAGAGCAGCTCCGCGGGCTCGTCGAAGCGCTGGAAGTTTCGGGACCTTCTTTATCGTAGCAGCAGCGACGGCAAGGAGACTTTCGTCTTTTTGGCTCCGTCCTCGACCAAGAGAGCCGACAACAAGAACAACAAGAAGGACGACGTCGTCTCCAAGAAAAGAGTCGGCGGCGGCGGCGGCGTGTCGCAGAATGAGGAGCGTTTTGTCGTGAGGAGCAAAGCCGCGGAGGAAGGAGATAAACGACGGTCGTTTTTACCGTACAGGCGGGACTTTGTGGGGTTCTTCTCTAACGTGAATGGGCTTAGCAGGAATTTGCATCCATTTTGAGAGATTAGTGATTGAAAATTGGGCTAAGTTTTGGTTTTTGTGAGTATTTTCTAATTTCTATTATTAATTTTTATTAGGCTTTTTTTGTTCTTTGATAAAATTACAATTAGTTAATAGTTTGCATTAACTAATGAGAAATGGGTTTGTTCATTTCATGTAATTAAATGGAATATATTTTATATTGTGAGAGCATTGGAAACTTCGTTTATGTTGAGTAAATCCACGTGGAAATTAATCGACTAGTTTTTAACTGGTAATCATTTGTTGAGTGGGTTTCACGCGGTATTGGAAAAAGATTCATTTTGCAAATTTTCTCCTCCAATTGGCGAACTACTTGGTGTCTCAACGACAGAGATTCAAAACACATTTGAAACATTTTGTGGCCAATGACAAGCCGAATTCCAAGTGATGATTAATCTCACCTTTTGAGTGTGGGAAAATTTCGTGGTATTTACCGAAAAAAAATGATTGCCCTTTCTCATAAGCTTCCAAGAAAATAACAAAATTAGATTTCTTTTCGACTTTTGATTTTGATTTTTAATATACAACTCTCATTTTGTATAATATTTGTGCAAAGTCAATTAAGGACACTCGAGAATTAAAAGAGTTTATTAATATGAGTTGGTATTAGGAACTCAAAAAAGCCAACTTTACATCTGGCTTAAGTTAATCAACATCAAGTAATACCTAATTAAGGGGGTGTCTTGCAAGTAAGCGGGAAGATGGAAATATGAAATTCGGCTAAACTGAAAATTTCAAACCAAATTTATTGTATAAATCTAACTTTAATAAGAAAGAAATGCAATTGTCAAATTAGATTCATGCGTGCTTGTACATGTGAAATCACATAATCATATGCGGCATGACAATTTGATACTTCAATATTCCCATACTTATTTTCTTAATTTACATTATCTCATTTTGACTTTATTTTATTATTCTACCCTACACCACTACATGCTTCAAGAAAGGAATAGAGACGCTATGAAAATAATAATAATAATAATTAAGCGACATTAAATAATTTTTTTTTGAAGATTTGGGTTATACCAGTTGGCCAAGATAGTATATTTATTCTTTACACTCAAGTTCGATCCCCTTTCTTTTACGTTATAGTAGTTTATAATATTGTATTGTCATAAAAAGAGACATAGAAAATCCATTTAATGCAATACAAAATTGGCATGCATGACATTAAATTTATAGCATATGTTTCTTCTTCATTATATTCTCATAAGTAATAATGAATGAATTGGATGTGGCTGCTGGTGGCTCCATGAGTTATGGTGATACAGCCAGCCAATACGGCGACTCTTTTGTTAAAGTATTGAAAACTGGGCCCCAGAAAAACAATAACAGAGAAGGGTCAAGTGGAAAAAGCAAAAGGTGAGAGATGAGATGACTATGAATTCCATGGGCAGCAATATTTTTGTGGGTGTGTGTGAGTGAGTGTGCGAGGGTGTGAGTGTGTGTGTCCCATTTGGGTACCATTTGGTCTTGGTCATTCATCTGCACCCACCCAATGCCATTTTCCTTAGAGTCAATCCAGCTGCAAAAGCTCCTTCCTTCCTCTCTAGAAAATAGGGAAATGTGTAAAGCAGATTCTTTCATCATCTCTCTTTCTCTCTCTCTCTTTGGTTTGGTGAGAGAGAGAGAGAGAGAGAGAGAGAGAGAGGGGACAGACAAACTGAGGATGAATGGTTGTGTCAAACACATGGAAGTACCTGAGAGACTTGAACCAGATTTGCTAACTAGGCACCTTGAAAAAGAGCCAAAAACTGCAAGGATTTTGACAGCACATAATGGACACTAGCACATAATGCATACAAAATACTTGAGTGAATGAGTTCACTTCCAACTTCCAAACAAACACTTCATAGTTTCAACTTTCCAACTACATGTTGGCAAACAAGTCTTGCACCCCGTCTCTCATTTTCCTTTAATATATCCATAAATTATAAAGAAAAATGCATAAAAGGGTTTGGAAAAATTAACCCCGTGTCTGTGATTAACAAAACTTTCTAGGTCTAAGCTCTCTCTGCCAAAGAGAAAAGATAAGATTATTGGTTAATCATATTTCAGATGAGCTTTATTGAGCTTCTTCTACACATCCCTATAAAGAAAAGAAAGGAAAAAGAAGATCAAATAATAATGAAAGAAGGGACTGAGAAGCTAGCAGAGAAGGTGGGCATCTGGTTCTAGTTCTGGCTATGGCCTATAGCCTGTGGCCTGTGGGGTACTTCTACTTTCACATCCTTTCTCTTTTACTTCTTTTAGAGCATACAATGCCAAAGGCTGTAAAAACAATCTCAGAGCTACCCCATATTTCTTGGGTGCCCAACCAAATCCACATAGAGACTGATCTCATCCCCTCCCCTCTCTTTGCCACTAGCCATAGCATACAAGTTTTATTAAATTAAATAATGAAAAATAGTTTTTCTTTTCTCGAACAATTGTCGTTCATGAGATTTAAACTCACAATCACTCGTCCAATAAATAGTAGATAAAAAATGCAACAATTATGTGGTACCTGTTTATGTCTATTTGATTGGAGATATGTATGTATGTAGAGCAGGTAGGATTCCTTATTGAATATCTGGCCATGTTCATGTTCACCAAGAACCCACTTAAATATCTTCTCTCTATCTTGAAATGGCAGACCAGGTTCATTTCCATGCCCACATTATTATTATCCACATTTAAGTATCCATCTCAATCAGCAAGCAAGCATACAGACACTTACTATGAACACAATTGACATGTAAATCTCATCAAAGACTATATGCAATGGAATTAAAAGCTGATGGAAAAAGAGTCTACTTTCCTCATGTTTACAAACAGAGCTTTCACAGGAGGAAAAAAGAAAAAGAAAAAGTGGTGTAATATAAGAATTAGATGCTTTTCAAAAGATGAGGATTGCACCTTGGAAGACATTGCCATTACTGTTTGATAACAATCTTTCTCCTACAATATCATGTATTAGTGGGGGAAGCATTATCATAGTGATGTGTCAATGAAAAATAACATAAAAGTTTGTCTAGCCCAGTGAAAAAGAGCCTTAACTTGCAGACCAAAAATCTCATGTTCAAATTCATGTCCTCTCTAGTTTAGAGACTATCGCTTATACTAAAAGTTATATCGTATGTCCGCGTATTATATTAGTATTATATACGTATGCATGTACGTATGTATGCTGTAGAATTATGAAGAAAAACAGTACAATCAATAATGTGAGGACATTGCCACCCCATATTTACATTATGGAGTTGGCTTTGCATGAATATAGAAAAATAGAAATAATTGTGGCTAGCTAGGCATCCACCGTCTTAATGGAATATGAGATATATATCGCCCACTTCACGAGCACTGTCCAAAAAAGTGAAATAATCACTTGCATCATAGCGACTAGAGTAACTAATAGGGTTGTTGGTTGGAGGTTTGATGGAGACAATAGGACAAAGTTCTTTTTTTCTTTGGCAAAACGCCCGTGTTTTGTGGGGATTGTTTGATGGATTACACAATTTACACAAGTTTAGAAGTTATCTTAATATCTTAGGGTCTGTATTCTCTTTCTTGTAAAATGGAATTGGTTTTTTTTTGTTGTTGAAAGAAATGAAATGGTTTACGTGCAGAAATAACTATTCTTTAACTACGCAGCAGATGCATAATTGATGACGATTTTATGGCAATCATATGTACGAGAAAAACGAAGTGGAGACGGCAACGGCTGCCGGCATTATTGGAAATTTCAACTTCAATTGAAAACGATAAATGAAGACTGGAGAGAGAGAGAGAGAGAGAGGGTGTTCTAGAAAAAAAGGAGAGAGAGGGTGTTCTAGAAAAAAAGGTGAGCCATTGAACAAGGTTGTCAACCACAGGGAACTTTCTCATTCTTCGGTCGTCATTTTGTTGGCCTCTCACGGTGTGAACCAAGCTAGTCTGTATAGCGGTTGGCGTAACGACGTTGGCCAATGGCTATATAAAGCTTTTGAACTTTCTGGTTGGGCTTGTTAGCTTGAGTTTGTCAAATTTCCAACCCAAGCCCAACCTTGGACCTTTTTATGACTGGCCTTGGAGCGTGGTTGGTTCACATTGTGGTTCCAAGATTAAAAAGAGAAGCTTCCTTACCCGGCGGTGTCGCTGCCCCCTCTCTCTACCGAGTAAAACTTCCCTATCTTCATTTCATTGTCATCCTCCTCCTCTCTTCCCTACCAAATGTCACTGACCCCCTCTCCCTATTGAATAAAACTTCACTATCCCCGTTTCATTTCTCTCCATCCCTCTCCTCTTGTACCCGCTAAACAGATGTTAAATGGCATTAAGTGGATAAAAATGGCCGCTTTGTTGCAGTCTGTATACAATGCACCTTGGGGTGGCACTGGCAGTCATTCTAACAAGGACTGAGAACAGAGAATCAAACACTTTCTACAATTTCACAACAAATCTGATTTTCATTAGATATCTTGTTTCTCTCATTGAAAATTACCGTCCACAATAGGACTTTCATAGTTGACCATTGTATTCATGCATATACAAACCAATGTAAGGGGGGAACACATTTCAGTTCACTCCCCCGCCTCCCACCCCAAGCCAGGGGCACCTTGGGAGATTCAACACACTGGCCGACAGTCCATTCATAGCACCGGTATCTTGGCCGACAAGCACAGGCTAACTTCTCATGCAAAAGCAGCTATTGAACTTGAAGAGCTCTGCAAAGTAGCTGCATAATCTCGTGCCCATAAATCGTAATGTATAATTTCATCGAGGGAAGGTGAGGCTACTAGTTCTGCCCGGTGCTTAGCACATGTTAGCTCAACAATCTTGAAAATATCAAGATAACTGATTCTGCAGAAGAGGCAAACTTTTATATTAGCGGAAGATTTTGTATGACAAGAAAATGCATACTAGCGAAGATTTGCAATTTAGCTCCTCAGCCAGTTAAAGTTTGGACGTTCAAATTTTATATCAATGGAAGATGAATAAACAGCACATACTTTTCACTGATAAACAACTCCACAGCTTTTTCATTTGCTGCACTAAGAACTCCTGTCATGGTGCCACCAGCCCGTCCAGCAGCATAAGCAAGATCCATGGATGGGTATTTCACATTGTCGGGAGCTTTAAAGGTTAGTGAACCAAGCCTGCATCAATATTAATTTCTAGTCAATGTTAAAGTTTCTCGAAGAAGGCAGTGTTATGATTGTAGTA